AGGCTTGGCTAGGGCTGCCACTGCATAGGTAGAAGCCTGCCCTTGCTGCAGCCACCCCAGTAAATAGCCGCAGAGGGGATTCCTTTTTCTGAGCTTTTTTATCTTCTGCTAGTTCATAGGAATGGAATCCACGAGCAGGAGGCTGCGAGGGGCAGCGAGATACCCCTATGCTGTGTCACTCACGTGGCTTTGCCTGGCTGGCAGCTCGCGAGCAGTGCTTCAGAGTACAGGCAGTGTTTATTGTGAGGAGAGAGGGAGCAGCACGCAGCAAGCACAGCTCCCTGGCTCCTGCTGGGGAGAACATGCTGCAACCTGGCCCTGTACGCTGCTACTCAGTGCACCCCACTCTGGTCCCTGTGGCCTTGCTGGGAGCTCTACAAGAAGCACAGCAGTGCTTGCAAAGCCTGGTATAAACACCAGCTTTTATGATACACAGGTGTTACCTGTGGCTGGTTATATCTTCTGCCTGCTGCTGGTTAGAGGATACAATATCCCCCGGCTGACAATTGCAGGACCATGCGCTTCCAGTGCTGTGCACTGTGACATCTTCACTGTGCCTTTCACTGGTGCTCATGTAAGCTAATGCTGGGACAGGCTGCTTTCTGCGCTCCTTTGCAGACATCAGAATCCGTGGCCGTGAGCAAAGCGGTGAGCCTACCAGCCTGGGCCCCCAGACCTGGTGGCCATTGTAGTTGCAGTGACATCCCTGGCTATGCTAGGGATGCCATGCGTGGAGCATAACACTTGCATGCCCAAGAATAAGAGCAGTGGGTTTATACAGCTGAAGTATCGTTGCATCCCAGGCCAGCAGTAAGCGTGTTCCTTGTCACTGTGCAGGTTCATGGGACAGCATGAGGTTGTTTCACATTCACCAGCACACTGGGAGCAGCACTAAGCCAACACTGCCTTCCTCCTCAGGATGGCCCTGTATGTGCCAAGCGAACCGCCTCCTGGCTGGCAGAGCCCGTGGCTTTTGTCGGCTGGGTGCTGCCTTTGCTTGGGAGTAGCGTGTGGATCCAGACCATCCCTGATGATGGTGGGCGCCACGAGGGGCAGGGACCCCCAAATCCTAAACAGCCGTGATGTACTGTGCAGCCTGGGCAAAGTGCGTTTGTTGCCTTGGAAACAAATAGCAGCACTGAACAACTAAATGAAATTTATGGAATCAACTTCAATAAATCTTGATGATTAATGTGCAAAAACATACACAATTTGATGAAGATCTACAGTATGCAGATGTGAGGGATGACAGTAAGTTGCAGAACTGCTTCGGATCCATTTTTGGGCTGCCACAAATGCATTCCTGGAATATGACTTTTTTTGTTTCTGAGGAAGCTGTCTGTTTCTTTTCATAGATATGGCATTTAATTTTGATTTCCCGGGTATCTTTTAGCTTAATTGGCACGCTGGATGATTGCAGTGTGTTGTTTTGTCTTCTGCAATTCCTGATTCATATCTAACTCAGGATAAAAATAAAATTGACAACTGTGGCAATCTAAGAGAGCAAAATGCAGCGAGCACCATGTCACGCACCCCGCATGGGCGCAGGATGCACCACCTCAATTGCAGCCCTTGTGCAGGACGTCTCCCTGCCCCCTAAGGGGCTGCGCTTTGTGGGAGGAGGACGGGGCAGTGACAGTGAGGTGTGGGGAAGGGCTGCTGTGCCAGAGCAAGGAAGGGAAGGATGCCTTCGTGATGCAGATGCATGAAAAGCTCCAAGCACTGTTTTCTAAAATAGATATTTTTGTTTCTGGTTTGACCTGTGGATCGATAAAGGTTCGGGAATATCAGCGGGCTTGTCTGGAGACTGTTAAAAACCTTTAACACAGCCCTTAATGGAACTTGATGTTTTTCCATTCGTTCTCATCCTGCTTCTCATTACGGTGTCTTATTTTCATGTCTCTCTGCTGCCTCAGGAGCGTGGGGATCTCCTCTTCCCATCGCGCTGTGGGGGCAGTGGTGGGGTCCCAGCCCTCAGCCCCCTACTGGTTCCTCCATGTCCCAGGTCCCTCCTGGCATGGGGCTGCGGTGTCCCTGCTCTGCCTGCAGGTAACACAGCACAGCCAGTGGTCCTGCCTGGGCTGCTGGCTGCTCATGGGCAGCACTGTGCTGCTTCATAATGAGTTTTGCTCGGTGTATTCCAGTCCTGGGGTGAAGCATGGAGTGCCACACGGCAGGGGAAGGCAGCACACCTGCCCAGTGCCATCCCTGCCCTTGCACAGGGCTCTGGAGCGCTGCGTGTGTGTGTGCATGGTAGCTGGTCCCTAACCTGCAGTGCAAGGCAAGCTGAGCTCCACGAGGAGCTAAATTTAGTGACTCGCTAACTTCTTCTTGATATGTTTTTGTAATTTCATTGTATTATGACACTCAGTTTTAAATTTGCATGAATAAATGAGCTTCTCACTAAGTCAGGTAAAGAGATTTTTCACTTATCTACCATGAAATAAGGCATTAGAAACCAGGAAGAATAGAAAGCAACGTATCCTTGACATATTTCGTTTACATTTTTTTCAACTGTGCTGACTGAACACTTCTAATTATTAATGATATAATAAAGCTATTTGTACTGCATATAGCGGGCTAAATAATTTCACATTATGAAGACTTTTTGTAATTAATTTACTGTTCTGCGTGAGAGCAGATTTTGAAAAACACACATTTACATTTAATTACACACTAAATCTGAATGCTAAGCCGCAGTGAGTGCATGCTGGCCTTTCACCTCGCAGTAGGAAGGCCCGTGGATGTGGTGGATGCAAGAGAACAGCTTTAGGCATGGTCCTGGTGCATGGGGAAGGTTCAGCACTGTTGCAGGGTCGCAACACCGAGGGGCTGCAGGGGAGCCCAGGACACAACCCCTCCTCACGTTCTGTTCTGCTGTCCCAGAGTTAAGGTCATCTTGAAAATGCACCTCAGCTTTCTCTGCAGGTGAGGCCAGTAGGAGCTCAGCAGCTTGGAGACCCTCACTTCAGTGCGTCTTTGTCCTTCCTCAGGCAGGAGGATCCCCAGCACCACCCCACCACCTCCCAGCCCCACCACCTGCCGCCTGCTTGGGTTGATTCACTCTCTCTCTCTCTTTTTTTTTCTTCTTTTTTTGCTGTTTCATTAATAGTGACAGATGCTTTTAATTAAAAAGAAAAGACAAAACAAAATCCCGCATAAAACAAGAAGGGAATATTCTAATTTGGCGTGACATTATGAGGCAGAATGGCTCCTGGCATGCAAGGTACAGAAAAGGTCATCTTCCCCGACTGCAGCCTTTGCAACGGTGGAATTAAGTTCAAACTCAGGCTGGTTTTGAAGTCTTAAGTCTCTCTGGGGATTCCTTTCATAACATCTTCGAACTGGATAACACTACAGTAAATGAAATACACTGCACTGGATTAAAGGGTTATTTCCCCTGTGTGTCAGGCTGACACAGAATACCAAACCTCAGGTTGCCTCCGAGTTGTCTCTATCTGCTGATACCCTCTCTTCTTTCCATTGCAGCTCTCAGAGTTCTTGCATGTGAGTTTGTGATTATTTATTCAGTTTCATTGCTTTGTGAACGTGGAACAATTTGGTGCAGCGAGTAGCCAAAATGAAGCAGCTAAATGGGAAGGCATGGAATGGGCTTATAAATGTGAAAGAGACAATGCAGGAAAGAGTGGAGCTGCCTCTTCAGTTCTCTTATGTTACTCTGTAATTTATACTCAAATCCCAAACCCAGATCTCTCAGTGTTTCCACTCGTTCTGGGCAGCACATACCTGCAGTGACAGCGGGGATGGTGCACGCTCTTCACTCTTACCTGCCTGGGCCAGCAGCTGAAGTTTGCCAGGGGAAATTGCAGTGTGCCCGTGGCTTTGAGCCTGCTGAAATCCTCCTCCATCTTCCTTTTCCCCACCACAAACCCTAAAGATCAATCTGAAATACCAGTCTGTAAAGGGCTAGCTATACAGAAAATCTTCCAATGATGAAAAAGGAGAAGCCATTTCTTCTCCCTGCTTGCCTCCACCCATCGTATTTTGTCCAAGGCAGCCCAAGGCCACCTGAGGTCATGCAGTTGTCTCACTATGCAGCAGTGTGTATGGAGATCAAACACCCTCTGCATTCTCCCTACGCTTGTGTTTGGTGACAAACAGGGCGCTGTACACAGACGTGGTCTTGCACACCAATGTCTGCCTCTGATTGCTGTTCCCTGTATGAATCCCTGGTCTCTGGCTGAGCATCCTCCTGCCTGCGGGTTTCCCTCTACGGGCTCTCTGGGCTGCACTGAGTTGCCCCCAGCAGCCCCAGTCTCCAGGGTGCTGCCCTGTGGCCATGCCCTCACTGGGCCCACCTGCTGGCCTGAACCAGGGGAGTTATTCCTACACAAGCTGTGTGTTTGGTGGAGTCCCATTGCAGAGATCCCATGTGTCGTGTCTCCTCTAGTGCCAGGTTCCTCTGCTTCCCAGTGTTACTCACATACTTGCTACACACGTTAAACACACATGGGAAATGGCCATTTTCTGCTGCCCACCAGTAATTTGCATTAGCTGCGTTTCCAGACAAACCTCTCACCAGGTGCCACGTTTTGTAGCACTAGAAGAAACGATAACACATGCATTGCTGGGCGCTCCCAGCAGTGTTCCGTTGCAGCGTGGCAAGGTGGAGGCGCTGGGTTAGCAGACCCGGCTTCTTGTTTCTGCACTGTCCTCCATGCCTCAAGCAGCTCTGTTCATCTGTGCTTTCCCTTCCCCTCTCTGCTAATCAAAATGGAAAAGCTTCCTGCCTTTGTTAGCACACTTAGGGTTTGGCTGAGGCCGGTGGGCAGGGGCTGAACACCGCACTGCTTATGGGAAGCACTGTTGGGTGCTATGTTGGTACTCTGCTGCGTTAGCGCGTGGTTCTGTGTCCCACTGTGGAAGCCCCGGCCCGATTCTTTCCACAACCGAGCGCAGTGTCTGTGTGATTTGGGAAATGCTGCTTTTTGGCGGTTGTGATGTCTGTACTTGTGCATAAAAACACCAGGAAGCATTTCTGTAGGTGTCACTAATTTAATTTAATCTGATGCGTGTGTACGGAAAGGCCTGTTCCGCACTAAAGTGCTTCTCTTTATTTTGCAGTCTCCATCGTCATCAAATACAACTCCTTTCATTCTCCTCCTCCATTCACCTACCCAAAGACCAAATCTGGAAATAGTAACCAAAAGAGAAGCCCACATCACACACAAAGCAGAGAAAGGTTGAAGTAATTTAAGGGTAAGTAATTTTTCACCCTTATTCTAACTTAAAGCTTTGTGCTCAGGGTAAAGCTGTACCAGTAAGAGTGAGGTGGCGTAACAAAGCTGTTAAGTATATACAGAACTGCTCTGTCAAACTGACTGAAAAAGCTGGATTGGTGATGAAAGCCAGGAGTAGCGGCACCTTCTGCAGGGGAGAAAGCTGAGTGAGCTGGGAATGGTGGACGCCTGTGCCATGCAGTGTGGCTGATGCCCTTTGCTCCATGCAGTGCCAGCAGCGCACTCGATACGTATCCTGTACGTATCGTGTTTCCACTCACCTTCTTCCCTAGACAGACAGGGTATGCGTTTGCTTGGATCTGAAAACTTCACTTTGCACATCTGGGTTTTCTGTTTTATTGCTGCTTTTTTTTTTTTTTTTTTTCCCTGCAGTGTTTGTTCATGCAAAATTCATATCTGGGCAGGGCATCTCAGATCCCCACTTCTGAGTCAAAAAGGGAAAGCATGGAAGTGAAAAGAGAGATTGTATCACTTAAGAAATATGATTCATGAATTAATCCTCGTCTGCTACACCATCTGTGGCATGTGTTTCAATACCAAATCCTCTTTTTACATCTCTTTAAAAAGCCCTTTCCCCACTGGCTGCTGAGCACCCCACAATGCCAAAGGGAGTCAGCCACTCCCACAGGTGCGCAGAGATCTCAAGGAAGGTTGGTTTCCCTTGCCCTTGCTGTCACTCATGGTGACCCCAGCAGTGCCACGTGGCCACAGCCTGGCGCTGCCCCTGGCATACAGTAATTACAGCCCCAGTAGCTCCCTGGCACCGGTGGTGCTGATAGATGGAGGCCAGCCAGGAGCTTGGGGCCGGCACTGAAATATTGCAGGTTTGTTGCCTTTCCATTCATTTTGCTTTCACGCCTTTCTGCCTTCCTGACTCATGGCCATGCAGCCTCTGCTTGCAATTTCTATTTGCTGCGGTAACACCTCCTGGACAAGACAGGAGTGCCTGAAAGCAGTGATGCTTGCTGATGCTTGTAGCTGCTTTTTAAGCTTCTTTTTTAATTGAGCATCTAAAGGCAGGATAGCAACAGAGTGGAAAACGGCAGTGATGCCTTTTGCTGTGGTAGGAAGTACGAATGAAGTATTCAGTGAAGGCAAAGCAGAAGAACCACACTGGGCAGAGCCCCAGGGGCTGCAGCGGGGTCCCACTGGGAGGTGGTCATCTGCACAGCTAGGTCCAGGCCAGGGGTACCAGACCAGTTCTAGAACTGGCTGTTCTCTAGGAAATGCTTCCCTTGCCCTTCCTTTGTCCCACGTCAGCCCGCTATCTGGGGGGCTGTATGGGAACTGCCGAATCATGTCCTGAACCTCCAATTGACCACCTGAGACAAGCACTGAGTCAGCCCTTGGAGCACAGGTGAATTGCCTTCATCTGTGCTACTGGTAGGGGTGGAGCATTGCTCCACATCTCCTGGACTCCGTTTAAGAGCTGACTACAACCAGGGAAGGATCTCTTTTGGAGATTGCTCCTCTTGGAGTCTTCTCAGTGAGCCCAGGACAAGGGTAACCTTTCCATCCGTTCTTCTTTAGCGTGATAACCTGTTTAGCTTAACTTTCTTGTATATTTCTTAATTATAACATCTGTATATTTGCTGATTATGCAAAGGCCTTGGAGGTGCAGGTGCTTTGCTGATGGGAAGTGCAGCATGAGCCCTACGAGTACTGAGCAGCCAAGGCTTCTGTAAACAGCCTCATGCAAAAAGGAGAAGCAATGTTTAAGCAAATGTTTAACCCAAACTGGGCTTGTAGACTGCATTATTTCTGAATGAAAAATACCTGCAGGAACAGGAACACAGCCCTGAATCAACACCTAGCTTTCTTTTTTACTGCGCTCCTGTGCTTTCACTAGGCACTCTGCCTGGCTTAATTTTTGCCTTTGCAATATTTTGCAGCTGTCTTAAGGCATGTTTTGTGACTGTTTCAATCATTTTTGACCTGAGTTCTGGAGTCTATGTGCTGTGATTTGTCCTGTGCTGATGTTTGGAAAGCTCAGGCTTTCCCTGGGTCTGTTGTGGCTGCATCTCACCAACAGTCACAGTGCTGATTCCCCAACATAAGAGGGCTTCAGATTCTCTACCTTGAGAGATTTCAGATTCTCTATGCCCTCCTGCACAGGGGTAGTGAAGGACTGGGGAGCATTGCTTCATGGCCTGGTCATTAGGACCCTGGCAAAACAGCTGCCTGTTTCTCATCAACAGTAGTGCCGTGAATGAAATTGGTTTGTGTCTGTACGTACTTTTTGGATGGGGAAAATTAAGCAGTAATAGGTGGAAAAATAGTATGGGTTGTGAGATAATAGATGCCTAAGGGATGAAATTAAACAGTACTTTACAGCGAAGGAAGAGGTTTTGGCAATGCATCGTTTACACTGGACTTTTTTACTTGGCAGAGGATTTGCTGGTATTGCTTTGGAGGGGTTGTCCTCCAATGTATTTCACCAACAGACATCAGAGCATTCTGCAGGTCCTTCTCTCCTCCAGGGGAGGGTGCAGTGTTCCTGCTGGCAGAAAGCCTGACACTTGGTCCCACAGCATGGTGCGACTCCCCTTGCCCTGCATGCTGGCTGAACTGCAAGGGGACAGCCGGAATCATGAAGCTTGGAAAAGGGCACTAAAATCTAATCCAACTGTCACCCCATCACCACACCCACAAAACCGCCTCTGAGCCAGCTTTTAACTTAGGAAACTCTCCTGGGGGGCCCCTGAACAAGAAGAGGGCCCAGGGGGAACCTTGAGGTGTGGGACTCATGGTTCCCATACCTGCAGTGGGACTCAGGATGTTCAGCACCCATGCAAATGAGGCTGCGCTGCCTGGCATGTTGAAAACAAAGTCATTAAGTAGCGGTTGCATTAAGACGGCTTTTATTCATGGAGTGTAATGTGATTCATTTGCCCTTTTGCTCTCATGTTGAGAAGGCAGTCATCTAGTATGCGTTGCTGGCTGCAGGGAGAGGTTTGTTGTTTGGTTTTTTTTTGTGAGGGAGCAGACATTTTCATCAAGTGCAGTGGGGCTGTAGGGCTGTCCCTTTCTTGGTGGTTGTCCTTTTTTTGGCAAGCAGCCCTGTTGGTGGAAGTGCTGAGCTCAGGCCATCTCCTTGCCTCAAGGCCTAGATCCTTCCTGTTGCTGTGCTGGGGGCATGGCTGGTGGTGCTGTGGGAGCACTCTGACAGCACCCTGGGGGCAGGCACAAGGGGCACACTGGGTCTTGTGGCTGAGCTCAGGGGCCTGCGTGTCCCTTGGTGTCCCCAGGACACCCAGTGCCAGCAGGGCATAGGGCCAGTGCAGGTTGAGATGTGCAGTGGGATCTCATTATGTGGGGGGGTAAGGAGGTGGTGGGTCCTCGGTGCTGCAGGCGACTGCTGGCGGTTAGGTGAGAAGTTAAGTGCAGCCAGGGGAAATCAGTTCTTCCTGGAGTTACAATAGGAAACAAGCCGAGTGAGCGAAGAGGGTAGAATACAGAAGAACAGAAAAATGCAATTTTTTTTTAATGTTAGCATGGGGAGCATTAACTAAGTTGCTAATTTCAAGATCAGCAGTGAGTAAGGCAGTTTGAGTCACTGCTTCTTGTGGCGGATGGGATCAGAGCAGTACAGCTCTGCATGTTGGAGCTGAACCTGCATGTTGGAGCTGAACCTGCAAAGTAGGAAGCAAGAAATTCCTTTTTAGCCCCAACAATAGCAGCCAGCACTACTTAACACAGAGATCTGAACAGCGTCTGAGCTCTGCGTCAGATTCCAAGCAGTCATGATGCACGGCACAGGGACCATCTTGAAGTCCTCAGGTGACAATGGGCTTCTAAAGTTACAGAGTCATACAGTGTAAAAATCAGTAAGGCATATTTCAGAAGCAAAAGGCAAGTGGAGGGTTACTTGTGCCTTGTCCATCTCCCCTCCATTATGAAGAAGCAGCATGTTGGCTAGGCAGGAGGCAGCCAAGCGCGGGCCAGGGAGAGGCTGTTCTGCAGGAGCTGGGCCCTTCCTTTGGAGACTCTCCTACACTGTGTTGACAGGGAGGCGCAAGAAGAATGGGTCTGGTGTGGTTACAGATGTGGAGAAGGGATTTTTGGAGGAGCTCGGCGCTGAGAGCTATTTGGGAAGGGGGATTTTTTTTGCTTCTGATGACTTGGGTAATCAAAAGAGAAGTGCTTGGAGCTGCAGAGGTAACAACGCCGACCTTCCCTGCTCATGTTTTCAAGCAAGAAATGCACAAATCACCGCTGATACTGCTGAGTGGTTTCCTGCTGCTTTGTGGCTTGATTTGGATCCGCCGTTGTTCCCAACCTGGTTCCTGTTTCTGTTGTAGTAGCATACAAAAGCAAGCAAATCCTTGCCTGTGGAATTGCAATTGTTTTGTAAGCGCTGCCTGATAGAAAGACTGCTTCACAAACACTTTCACCTTGCATCGTGCTTTAGATCCTAAATGGATTTTGAATAGATTAATGTATTTCGGAGTGTTCTAGAAAGGTCAAAAACAGAAAAGAGGATCTAATAGCAGTGTAGCAACCAGCTGGTAGCACTGGGTTTCATTTTACTGCCATAGTAACACTATGAGCCACAGTATTAATACCATGCCCACTGAATGCCATCCTCCCCCCCCCCCCTTTTTTGGTTAGAAAACAAGCCCATAAGATATTTTCTTCCTCAAGAATTTCTATGGAGCAGTAATAGGCTTTTTGGAGGGGACTGTCCTCATACCCAAAGATGTAAGGTGGGTAATTTACAAGGCAATGTGCAAATGCCAAATTGTTAGGCAGAACTGCTGCTGATTTAGAAGGCAGTTAATGCTATAAATGTGCCAAGTGCCAGTAGAGTGTTTCTACAGATGGAATAACTGGAAATATTGGAGAGGTTCCAAAGGTTTAATCAAATTCAACCAGTCTTTTTTTCTTTTTTTTTTTAAACTGCAGAATTCTCTAAGGGATGCAAGTTGCAATAGTAGATTATTCCATTGCTTTTAGTAC